GCCTCCAACATCAGCAGAGTTTGATGAGTGGTAAATACAGTGAGCCAGGAGCCACGAAGACAGCCAGTCATTTAGATCTGCACAGAATTTTATGGTTTCTTGTGTTTATACTTCTGAAGATACTGAACCCTTAAAATGGGTCATACAGGTAAGCTGGAGGGTTTAGGGTAAAAATACACAAATTCACAGAAGAACAAACAGGTAAGCTCGGCCCCCCCTTAGCGTACCTGTTTGTTCTTCTCTGTTCTGATCCGGCCTCGAGTCGGCTGGACGCAACTAAACCAGATGGAAGCGGTTCAAGTGACGCAGTTTATCGCTCAGTAACGTAAATGAACACAACAGAACGGTGACAATACAAAAGAAGCTGGTGGAAATCAGAAGAACCTAGCTAACAAGCTAGCTAACAGAAAACCAAACTAAACTCTTCAGCCACGATTAAACCTGACAGCAACATCCACACAGAACAGAAGAAACTAAAACAAACTGGTGCCTAAAACACACAGTAGGAAAAAGACCAGACACGAGGAACTTCTTCACCAGGTTGTGCAGCTGCTAACGGGAGTCAGTCTCCACTAAGACTCTCTCAAACTCCCACTGAGTCAGCAGCTGCCAGCAGAAGCTACCACAAACACAAAGACACAGAGCGAGCGGAACCAGAACTGTTCACACTAAACCCCAACCAGCCAGACTGAGAGGCTGCTGGTTGGTTTTATATCCAGGTGTGGTGATTGCTGGGTGGAGGAGGGGTGGTGCTGGTCCAATCACACATGACCAGAGGCGGGGAGAACAAGGCTGAAAGTAGGTCAGCAGCTCCAGGGCAATCATCACTGATGTCTGGCATGTGTGGTTCTGGAGCACCGTCTTCAGCTGGGCCTTCACAGGACATCTTCCCACACAATGACCACAGGTCCACATGACCAAAACAGCACAAACACGTTGGGCCGTAACAACGTCCAATCAGGAACTGAGGACATCACCTGAGAAAATTAGAAACCTGAGAAACTACAGGGTGAGGCTGTGGCTCAGGTGGTAGAGCAGGTTGTCCTGATCGTAAGGTTGGTGGTTCGATCCCCTCCACAGTCCAAGTGTCCTTGGGCAAGACCCTGAACCCGATGGCAGCAGCACTGTGCATGGCAGCTCTGTGGCTGTTGGTGTGTGAATGGGTGAATGAGAAGCACTTTGAGTGCATTTGTTATCTTAACTTGTTAACTTCACATTTCAGAACTCATAAGATAGCATTAAAGAAATTACTCGGCTCGACTGGGAACCGTCGAATCCCAGACCTTAGACTGGGCGGCGTCTCTGTTCTGAGGCCAGCTGACTACATTCTGTATTTACAAAAGCACTGGAGAAGGCTGAACACATGTCCAAGGCCTTAGTTGTCATAGTTATGACTTACAAGAAGAGGCTAGCGGTTGGCGGCGGCTGGGGTCCGGATGTACATCACGACTTTTACAGTATTAATGCAGAAGCAGTCCTGTCCTGTATACATGTAAATACTACATGTGGTTTAAATGCAGGCTGTTGGTGAGTAAAGCATCTCTGACGTCACTCTGAGGCTACTTTAGGTCTCGCTGCTCAAACATGGGTTACGTGAAGTCGCTCGTCCTCGTCAAGCAGTTAAAATGATCCATGTTTTCCTTTCCACTGCAACTCTGCTGAAAGAGGTCAAGGTGAAAGTCAGGGTCACGCCCAGGGACGTCCAAACAAAAGGATGCCAAGTGATGGGGGACATTTTTCTTCCCAGCTGTTTCCAGCAGCCGTCCCCTCTCCGAGTGCTGTGCCATCTGCACAAGAAAGAGAAAGGGGTGATGTCTTTACCAGCCTGGGCAGCCATGTGCTGGTGGCCCAGCAGATAGGAAACGCAATTAGAAGTCGCCGTAAAAGAGGGACATTAGCAGGCCAAGACAAAAGAGGTCGGAGCCCCACGGCCCCAGGTGAGGAAGGAGGTCGTAACCATAACCGCCCTGTCAGCTTCCTGCCCGGGGGGGGGGGGCAGGAGGAGGGAGACGGCCCAGCAGACGGTGACTGTGTGGCTCCAGAGCTCCATGGCGCTGGAAGTCATGTAGCCTCAACGTGACTAGAAGCTCTCAGCGTGGCCTAAATAACGACATGGCCGCAAAACGAGGACGTGGACAAGATGGAGACGATGACGAATCAGAGTTCACGCCTCAGACCAGCAGACAGTTTGGACGTTTCTAGACTTTTCTATTCAGAAAGTACCACGCGTTGACTTACATCAGATTTATTTTAAACTGAAGGATTCTGTCAGTTTCACAGCTGTTGTTGTTTGTGTCAAAAACTTTACTTTAAATAGATGGTTTCATGGTTTTTAACTGCAGCTTTTGATTGTTTTGAACTTTTTACTGTCATTTCTTGGATTTTCTGGTTTTCCCCCTTTAATAAAAATCACAGAAAACAAAGTTTGAATTTACACGTCAACCCTAAAAAAAGAGCCTAAAACTATAAATATGTATTTTTATAAATTGTAATTTGTTCTCTAACAATGTTTTACCGCCATGTTTGTCTTACTGCATTTAAACTTTATTTTTTTAACATACATATATTTGAATTTATTTTATTTGACAGAATTCTGTACAATAAGGAAATAAAAATGGCATTATTTTTAAAACTGTTATTTTACAGACTTTTCCTGTTTTATTAAATTACAGATGGTACCAAATAAAAAACACTAATTTACACGTTGACTTTAAAAAAGAAGAAAAAGGAAAATGTAAATCTAATCAAATATTATTATTATTATTATATATTTTTTTCCCATTCTCTAAACATTACAGTAGTCCATCATGTGTAATGTATTTTTTCTCAAAAGTTTGCTGCCAGATTTTCACAGTTTTGGGGATTTTTTCTTTCTTTTTTTTAAAACAATGTGTCAAAATTCCCTGTTGGGCCTTTGGGTTGGACCAGGATTCAGTACACCTGATATGTTCAGAGACACTGACCTCCTTCTCTGTCTGATCTCTGTCATGTTTGCGGTTTAAAATATCTACATTTTCAAGAGGAACGTTGGAATTAGAGCTGCTATGAATCAGAGACATTTCACAGATTTAAAAACATTATTTTTAAGCACTTATTAAAATGTCTTAAATGCCACTAAATGCTTCTTTATGGTTATTTTTCCTTATTTTCAGGCTTGTAATCAAACAGCCGATGACTGATTCATATCGTAATATGATCATAGTCAGTATATTGTCGTTGCCTCACTGATAAAATAAACTTTGAATCAGCAGGTAAGATGTCAGTGAGTTAATCTCCTATCAGCAGGTTCTGCCCACAGCGCCAGTCCAAACAATGGCCAGCGCTGAAATGTGCCATTTGTGCTCAGGAAATACAGAAAGACATGAGCTGACAGGAAAATGTGAAGCGCTGAGAGGAAGCGTGTTTGCACAGATCGGTGCTCTCAGGGTGGTTTTCCAGTGGTTTTAACACGTCCTGTGTCTCGGTCGGTCCGATACAGCGACTCACAGAAGCGTCCGACCGGCTGACCTCTGACACTCCCAAAGCTCCGGCCCTGAGCTGCACATCCCAAATGTGGAAAAACACTTGATGTTAAACAAAGGATATCCTTTAGACGGGAAAGCGCTACCCCTTCACTGCAGCCTGAGGGTCTTATTTATTAATTGGCACCAATACAAATACACGATTGGCTCTTGAATTAACAGTACGCTCCCATCCTCTCACAGCCAACAGGATGTTTGTGTGTTCTCATCAGGCTTTCTTTCTTCACCCATGCTCCATTTTGCCAAGTCGCCCGTGTCCAAATCACATTTCCTTTCCGCTGAGCTAATGCTATGATACTTGGAAACGGTAATTAAGTGTTTATTTGTTTTACTGAGGACATATTTGACGTCACAGGTTATGAAATAAATGATGTATTCTGATATTTTATTGATGTATGAGTTGCTCCAATTAAAGGAGGGTTCACCAGAACAACATGAAACGCTCAGTGAGTGGATCTTTTCCAGACGGATTCAGAACTTTATGAATTCTCAGGTGATGCTGAGTTTATCAGAACCAAGTTTCAACGTTTCACAGAAAGGCTGAACATCGAGCCACAGCAACGAGGAGATAAAAAAAGAGATAAATTAAAGGAAGCAGTGAGGAAATAAAAATGCAAATGGAGAAAGGAACGGCTCCTTTAAATGCGTGATCAATATCTTTTGAAGCCAGCTACTGGTTTCTCCTTTTGAACTGCATTTCAAACATAAACATAATTTATTTATGAATTCTTTAATGTTTAAATCACATTGACTATTCAGTTGATCTAATCAATCATTTTTTGGGAGGGGAATGTTTTTGATAGTTCCACTTTGCAAATAAAAATATCGATAATGAACTGATTTGCGTTTGCAAAATAACAACAACTTTGCCTGTTCATGATTATATTATACAGTTAGTTCTTAATTAAAGAAACTGTTCGTTGCTGTTTTCGTGACACTCCTGGTTCTCCGTACATCGTCCATGTGAACAACGTCATTAAAACTCAGGCCTGTTTACACTTTGGTGGCATCACTGCTCTGTTGACTGGAGATCGAATCTGGCTGCAGCCCTGGAGGTCACGTTGGGGGTCAGAGATCTGAGCACGGATCCGACACGCTCCATCTTCTCCCATTTCATGCATAAGAGATATTTTAAGGTTTTATTTAGACAGTGGATATCCGTGTTCTCCGCAGCGCAGCTATGGCACCCTGTTCTTAACAACATCTTGTGTACAGGAGCCTTTCCAAGAGGTTCCTCCCGTCGGTCCCGCCGCCGCGCTGACAAGTTGGCAGGTAAACATAAACACGGTGGAGGGATTCAACCGCGCTGCCAGTAAACGGCCACAGAAGGGCCCGAGCAGGCATCTGTAGACAATTAGCCACACAATAGGTGACGCACACAGGGACAAACAGTTATTTCCGGGTCTGGATAGGGTAATATTTTAAATAGCTTTGTTTATAAAGAGCAAGAACAAGGAAAGAGCGGCACGGTGGCTGGGCTTCATGTTAAACTACAATTTTATTTCATGTATTCACAACGTAGAAAATACTGTAGGCCATTATTCATGCATGCATACGACACGAGATTCACATTTTACATTCCAAAGTGTCAAAGTTATTCAATTTACTTTAATACATACATATCAAACAGAACCAGTGCACATCATACAGTACATTTGTTGATAGACAGTGAGTGGAGTCAGTATAATAGACGTAATGGAATATAAAAGACGGTCAGATTAACCCAGCATCCTGGAGAGATCCTGCTTCTCCCTGGAGAAAGAAGGAAAGAAATACAAGATTATTATTTGTTCTTCTTCAGCAAATCCCATGAAGAAACCAGAACGAGCTCATTCTACAAACAAGCATCGTTCCTGTTGATAGAACTCGACTATCCATTTGTAATGCGTGTTTTTAAATATTTATGTCCATCAGGGGCTGAGAGCCGCCGGCGAATGAGAAACCAAAGTGTTGAGAAATGCTTTGTTGCAATCTTGTTGGTTTTTCCTCTGGATTTGTTGACAACAACGTGAAATATGACCTCGTGTGTGTCCTGCTAAACAACAGCACTTAGCAGTAATTTACAAGCTGCAGCTAATCTAGCTGTGGACTCACTGTGGGCTGGCGGGGTTGATCAGGCGCTGCAGCTCCTGGAGGTGCTGAGATACGCTGCCTGTTGGTGAAACATGAGAACATCAGGATCCTTCGTTACTCAGACACGAAGACGATCGAGTTTAATAGCAGCTAGCGGACTGGTACCCAGGAAACGTCAACAGGAACCAAAGTGTTTGTGGGAAGAAACTTCAAACCTGGGGCCGGTCTATTTAAGGCGTCTGAGAAAATGCCCCACATTCATGCCCCAGAGTGGCAATAAAACTGACAAACAATTGCAGGTCCCGTATGGACTCATTCTTACCTGGGCCACCTGCCAGACCGCTCGTCCTTCCTGCTCCGGTTGAAGATCCGGTTCCACTGCTGGACGTTCCTCTGCCTGGTACACTTGCTGGTTTACTTTGTCCTGAGTTTCCAAACCAGGAAAATCCAGAGCTGCTTGACCCCGTTCTGCTTGATGACCCAGTCGACCCAGTTGACCCGGTTGATCCAGTTGACCCAGTCGATCCAGTTGACCCAGATGATCTACTTGACCCGGATGACCCACTTGACCAAGAGGACCCACTTGACCCAGTTGATCCAGTTGACCCAGTTGATCCAGTTGACCCAGTCGATCCAGTTGACCCAGATGACCTAGATGACCCACTAGACCAAGATGACCCACTAGAGCCAGTTGACCCAGTCGATCCAGTTGACCCAGTTGACCCAGTTGACCCTGATGACCGAGATGATGACCCAAACCCAAACCCAATGCCTGTGGAGGGTTTTTCATTTGACGTTGGCTTATTTGAGCTCGAACTTGACCCTGTTGACCCATATGATGAGGATGATGATGAAGATGATGATGATGATGATGATGAGGATGATGAGGAGGATGATGATGAAGATGATGATGATGATGATGATGAGGATGATGAGGAGGATGATGATGAGCCTCTTGAATTCTGCGCTGAACCAAAGCCGCCTGAGCTAAGGTTTGGACTAGACGCTGCTGATCCATAGCTTGAGAGCCCTCCCCCAGTTGATCCAGGCTTATTATATCCTGAGCCAGAGGAGCTCAGGCTTGGGCTGGAACCTGAAGAGGATGATCCAGGCTTGTTGTATGATGACCCAGATAAGCCAATGTTTGAACCGAACCCGTTTGACCCGGTCCTACCAATCTGACCCGAACTGGAAGAGCTGGATGAGGAGCTGGATCCACCAGTGTTGAACGGTTTCCAGCTAGACTGACTCTGGGTGTTGGGCAGAGAGGCCAGACCTCCTGAGTACCCACCGAAGCCCGCCTGAAAGACAACGAGACCACGTTAATAAAGAGATAGATAGATAGATAGATAGATAGATAGATAGATAGATAGATAGATAGACAGATAGATAGATAGATAGATAGATAGATAGATAGATAGATAGATAGATAGATAGATAGATAGACAGATAGATAGATAGATAGACAGATAGACAGATAGATAGATAGATAGATAGACAGATAGACAGATAGATAGATAGATAGATAGATAGATAGATAGATAGATAGATAGATAGATAGATAGATAGATTGATTTAGGGTTCATTTACCACCACCATAAATACAATCCTTGGTTAGACTCAACATTTGTCCTTCAACAACATAGCAGTACATACATAACAGTACATAACACTTTCACCTCTCTGCCCTCTTGTTCTTTGCAGCCAGACCTCTTCCTCCCCCTCCTCCTCCTCTTCCTCCTCCTCCTCTTCCTCCCCCTCCTCCTCTTCCTCCTCCTCCTCTTCCTCCCCCTCCTCCTCCTCCTCCTCCTCCTCTTCCTCCTCTGCACTTGAAGCTGGATCCCTTCCAACAACACATCGGCTGCTTTGATCGTATGCATCTTATGTAAGAGGGCGTCCTCTCAGAGCGGTGGCATGTGGGCTTTGCTCTTTTTCAGTATCTCCATACCTGCTGTGGTGTCAGCAGGTATGACCTCTGACATCGCAGAGAGTTTTGTTGTTGACAGAATCAGAACCACCTGACTGCTGCACAAACAGCTCATTACGCATAACAGTGATCTAATGGTACCATGGGGACTGTACAGACCTGGTTCCCTTAGTGGACCTTAGAACCGATCTATTAGTTAAACTGTTCTCTCTTTTTAATCGCCTTTGATGGCAAATATTTTCAGAATGCAGCATTTGATCAGCGGTACTGTGAGTGTAGCCTGATTAAGAGTTGACAGAGCGGTTACCGTTGGTTCTCACCTTGGCCATGCAGGAGATGTTGAGCTGGTTCACTTGCTCTGTCAGGTGGTCGACCGCTCTACTCTTGTATCTGACGGTGTTTTGCAGCACATCAATGTCTCCGGTCATCCTCATCTTCTCCATCAGGAGCCTCTCCTTCTCCTGATCATGTTTCTGCTGAAGCTTCTCTAAGTTCTGCCTGTTCTGCACGATCAGGCCCGTCCGGTTCTGGCTGCACCAGCGGTAGTCCTCTGTCAGTCGCCAGTTTTCTGCCTTCAAGCGGATGCTCTCAGACTGAATGTCCGACACGTGGTTCCCCACCACGTCCAGGTAGCGCTGCAGCTTGTCCTCCACCTCCCTGGACAGGCTGGTGCAGTTGGTGCGGATCTGCTCCAGGTGTTCCCTCTGCTTGGGACAGGACACCTGGAATTTGATGTACGCAGGGAAGAGAGAGTCGATCTTGGTCAGGAAAGCCCTGGAGACGTTGAAGACGGAGCTCATGGACATGGAGAACTCATCTTTGGAGGTTTGCCTGAAGAACTGCAGCTCCTTCTCTTGCGTGGATTTGTCCCGCCGCAGACGGATGGTCTCCAGGTTGAGGTTGTCTCTCTCTCTAGAGATCTGGTTCATTTCCATCCTCACCCTCTGCACCGTTTGGGTGAAGTTGGACGCCATGAGCTCAAGTTGGGCTTTCAGCCGCTCAGTCAGCAGCCCACAGTTACAGCCGCCTGGAAGCACAGTATCTGTTCCACAAAACAGAAAAGAAACGTACAAAATAAGAGGCAGCGTTTGGAGAACGTTTCACTGACTTCAACATCAGCTTCTGCATCGTGTGCAATGTTTCAGACTCTCATTCCTAAGGTGTCATATTTATATTTATTTATCATGTCTAGCGAGTCATTTTTCATTTTCACCATTTTGATTATGTGTGTGATGTAACGTTCATCATCGTGTGTGATCTCAGCTCTAACCTCAGCACACTCGCCTGTATTACTGTTCTTTCCTCATTTTAACTTATTTTATTTCAGTCAAGCACTACACCGGCATCTTATTGCTCTTCTACTTTACAGCACAAATGTTAAGTCGTTTGTTTTCTCTGAGCAATATCTGGCACAAGAACTTCTCTCATGACGTGCTATCTTAATTTATTTGACTATTTCCTGGAAAGCATCACACTTACGTATGGCTGGGCTGGGGGCTGACAGACACCTGAACCTGCAGGACTGCACCTCGCTGTTGCACTGTTGCTGTTCACATGAGAGGGAGAATAAAAGGTGATGTAGGGATTTATTACAGAGCAGGAAAAAAACAACATATCACAGTCCCAATTTATGTGAACCACCTGTCAACACTGATCAAGTTAACCTTTCCTAGAAATATCGCAGCATGAGACATAAAATTGATCAGAAGAATAATCAACAGTATAACTAATGACACCAGTACAGCTCTGTGGGTGACTGAAGCAGAAATTTTAATAACTTTTAAAAAAAAATCAACTTGATTAAAGCACTGCAGATTTATTTCCAGTCAGATGTGTTCATAGCCTCCCATTAAAGAAGGGAAAAAAAAACAGCTGCAGTCACTGAAATAAGCTGAAATTGACAAAAGTGACAATAAATAAAAATGTGATGAGCATCATGACGTTGGTTTGAATCGTGGTTCAACAGAAATATAAAACCAAACCAGCCTGATGGGACCTGTGAACTAACATGTAGCTGAACAACTCTCTGAGTCAATCACTGCCATCAGGTGTTTCCTGTAACTCTCAGTCAGACTTGTGCACCTGTTGACAGGTATTCTGGACCACTGCTCATCAGCAAAGGCCTCTCATTGGTCCGGATCATTTTTTTTTTTTAATTATTCTTTTCAACCACAATTCAAAAGCAACGTCTTATTTCACTAAATTATAATTTAACAAATTTTTATTTCTTATTACTTTTGCCAGTTTCTAGTTATTTGAGGGACTGTTGTGAGTTTTGCCTTTTCTTTAATCAGAGGGTCTGAATATATTAGAGGATGACTGTACATGAGTTGTCACTTAATCTGTAACTTTACTCAAACTAGCAGCTCAGTGCACCTCATCGACACAGAGATAACTTCTACTGGTGTTGAAATGTTGGACATAAAAGACAGAGAGCTTAAATCACACACAGCCCGACGACAGATGCCAACTTGAGTTTGCGTTCTCACCAGCCTTCTCTCGTAGTCCTGAAAGAACAGGACCGACATGTTGCAGACGGAGCGCAGCTTGCTAAGGTCGAAGTCATTGCGAGCCTTTTCGGTCAGGGTCCGGTTGAGTAGGTTGGTCAGGTTCTTCCTCTGCTGCCTGAGGGCCACGTTCTCTATGGACAGCCGGCTGAAGCTCTCCTCCAGGTCCTGGATTCGCGCCGTGGACGCCGAGTCCTGTGTCTTGCCGTAGACCAGAAAGAGCACCAGGCTGACGATGATGAGAGACTGAATGAGCGACGAGAAGAAGAAGACGATGCGCATGTAGTAGCCGCAGCCTTTGCCCTTGGAGTGGTACTGCATCTTCTTTCGGGCCTCCGGGCTGTACTTGGACACCTGGGAGTAGCCGCTGCTGTACATGAGGGCTTGAGGTTGGTCGGAGAGACGTGGACACGGTGAAGAATTACTGCGAGCCAAGTTCAAACGGAGTTCATCCCCGATTCAGAGGACAAACAGCAGCTCTCCGCGGGCCAAACCAGCAGATAAAACAATTATTTCAGAGCAGCCAGCGGATTTCACAGTCCATTTCTTGTGAGGCTTTTGCCCTTTCCTCTAACAAATCCCCACACAGTGCAGACGTGGGCCAGACGTTTCCTCTCAGCGGTGCTGATAACGTGACAATTGATAAGATTGTGGATTAGGTGTAAACATGGGCACGGATTTATAAACTCCTCCGGCCACACGTTTCCCATGATGGGAAGTGGTGCTGGTCTCAGTCTCCTCCCTCCCCGGGTTGTCCCATCCCATCCCACCCCATGCACACACACACACACACACACACACACACACACACACACAGCATACATGTATGTACTGTACACGTCCTCACACACACATATGAGCACTTTTTCAGATTGAATTTGCACTGATCTTCTAAATAATCTCAATAAAGATCATTTTTAGCGCATCTCATTCATAAAATCCCATTTAAGGTAAAGTTACTGAGGAAAAAAAAACACAAAATACTGAAGTCTCAGTGGCTAACGTGTACATGGACACCACCTCTCTGTTGTGGATGTTCTGCTACCATAAAGACATCACCAACTCCATGTGTGTAGCTCCTCCATAAACCTGCCAAAAACATCTTTATGGGATCATGAACAGTGTTTTCCGGCACTCCGCAGGCCGGCAGGACAATGGCTCATGTTTCCCTTCGCAGATTCTCATTCGGTGGCTCTTTGATGCCGCAGGTCTCAGTCCAACACGATGACGTCCGTGAACTTCCCTCTGTGTCATGAGGACAAGCACACACACATTCAATTTAAAATGAAATCCAGCAGCCTGACAGTAACGGTCCCAACTTTTTCCTGCCAGGCATTGTTGACATGCTCTGCCTCATCTCGCCAGGAAGCGGCGAATCATAGAGGAACCGCTGATGGCCAAACCTGCGACTACTTTCTGGAATAGATCCAGGATAAAAGGCACCAACAAACGCAGGAAATCAGAGACAAATAGAAAGCATAAATAATCCCACGTAAACACGAATGAGGTTGAAGTGCTTTGTTTAATCTGTACGTCTAGACGCATTTCTTCTGGAGCCGCAGCGTTGCCAACTAGGCTAAAGCAGCGTTCAGACCAGCAGCTTGTTGCATAATTTATATGCTTCAGTAACTGCAGTCAGTCAAACAGGCCTAATCACGATCAGCAGCGTCGGATGCTCTAGTAGGAATCAGAACCTTTACTGTTTGGTCAGAACCAGAAGGCACAATGTCTCGCTGGTTCTCTTTCTTCAGGTCAGATCATGTTTTTGGTCAGGTCAGGAACAACCACCATATTGAAGCACATGTGAGCTCATGTACATAAAATAATCTGGAGTGGCTGCTTGAGTTTGACATGTCTGTCAAGTTTCTGTTCATGTCTGCACACTATGTCCTGTTTTATTTTGAAATCACTTCACTGGAGGTTCTATTCTAGATTTACTTCCTGTACCTGTCTTGTCTCACCTGCTCCCTGATTGCCCACCCGCACCTGTTTCCCATCTACCCTCATTACCTCGTGTATTTTACCCTGTGTGTCTCACTGTCTCGTCGCCAGTTCGTTGCACTTACAGTCCTCGTACCAGCGTTATGCAAGTTAAGTCACAGTCTGTTTGATCTCGACCTTGTTTCTGCTTTTTGACCTTGCCTCTTGTCTGCCGATTTCGGATACCTTTGCTTGTTTGATCTCGACCTTGTTTCTGCTTTTTGGACCTTGTCTCTGCCCGTCGATTCTTGGATACTTCTGCCTGTGGGACTGATTTCCTGTGTACCGAACCCTAACTGCCATTAAACCTGTCTTTTGCCTGAACCTACTGAGTCAAGCATTTGTGTCCACCAATTCTGTTAGTGAGTTCATGACAGAGTTCTGCTTCTCTAATCACCAATAAAGCTCATTAGATTGTTATGACCCAGCTCGCTGAAGGGAAAAAGGAAGCAACAAACCAGATGTAATGAGTTTATGAACAGAGCTCACCGAAACCAACCACACTGAGGGGCAACAGGGCGTAAAGCTGCTCGGTTAACTTCATCAAACAGACAGAAGGTCTTATAGAAATAACTCACAGCTGACAAAACAAAGTAAAACCAATTCCAACAGAATAACAAAAGTGTTCACAATCAAAGTAGACAGAACAGCACCTTCCTAAATGGGAGTAAATGATATGAATCTTCTGACTAGCCCTGTACCACGACAGCTTCTAAGTACCTGAAACACTTCACACAACATGAGTTTCTCCCAACAGAACGAGGTACTGGTGAGTACAGCCACCAGCCAACTGGGCCACTCCAAACCAAACAGACCGCCATCACCAGCTGGAACGTCCCACTGGGTCCTGAGAGACTGGCTCGTCTCCGCCCATCTGCCCTGGACCAATCGGCGACCAGCGACGGCACAAGATAAGCACGTGTAAGATGGTTTTGTCAAAGGCGTCCTTGTTCTGTTCAGGACTCCCACCCAGTCCAGACATCAGACTATCAAACCTTTGGTTCCTTTCTTTTGGCTGCACATTGTTCAACAGTTACTTGTTTCCAGAACTCTTCACAGCAGGTTTCAGTTCAGCCTTCAAGAGTCTGTACGAGAGCTTCAGCTAAATCCACAGCTAAACACACTTAACTCATAAAAACATTCACAAACTGCTTCCTTATTCACATTACTGTTGTTACACTTTTCATTAAGACAGAATCCTGCTACAACAGCTGCTGTATGTGAAGCACGCTCAGAGCATCACCTGATACCTACTCTGGGGGAAGCAGACCACAACCTGATTCTGCTGCAGCCTCACCACAAACCAAGTGTGAGGAGGCTGCCCACAACCACACGCTCAGCCAGGAAGTGGTCTCCTGAGGCAGAGCAGGCTCTGAGAGGCTGCTTCAAAGCTCCAGACTGGGGTGTTATGCAGGGTCGCACAGCGGGGACACCGAGGCGGTGGCTAGCTGCACTACTGACTACATTAGCTTCTGCTGTTGTTCTAGTAAGAACTGCACGCTGCTGCGCTAACAACAAGCCCACGAGTGGCATCAAGGGCCTTCTGAACCAGGAGAAGACGGTGACCAGCTTAACACAGGGAACTCAGAGTCCGGCTCAGGGAGGCGAAGGAGCAGCGCTGAAGGAAGCTGGAGCAGAAGCTGCAGAACAGCCTGTTAGCCCCAATTCTTCAGCTGGAAGCCCAGGAACAAACCGGAGAAATCTTCAGTTCACAGGTGTAGAGTTTATTCAGGTGAGGCAGTGCTGGGCTCAGAGTGACAGAGATCTATCAGAAGGAGTCCCGATGATTCACAATTATCTTCTTGGGCTGGACCTGGCCCAGACAGAGGTTGGACAGAGTTTAATTGGCCAGCGATTCCCTCATTTACTACCTCTATCTGACACCGAAATCTCTTATTAAAAATCTGTTTCAATCATGAAAACCACTACGAAACGTGTTTTATCTTCAGGTTGAGTCTGTTTCTCTGCACAAAGCGGCTCTATGTCAAAGTCATTTAACTGGATAATCGTGATAACACACTCTGAGGCTCGTGGAGCTGTCTCCCCCATCGCACGACATCACAGCTGTTACCATGACAAGTTGTTTACGTGTTTCCAAACCACCCAAACACTGTTTACTTCTCAGACTGCTTGTGGAGCAACCTCGGCCGCCGGCTCCTCGTGCCTGGAACCACTCCCACACATCTCCAGCCACTCCAGGTGTGCAGCGTCACTCCCACACGCCGGGAGAGTTTACGGGACGTTCAGTTTTTCGGAGGAGGCTCTGGATGTCACAGATTAGAGGTGACGAGGGAACACAGCGCCATTGTGTTTGGGATGTCAGACGCTCTGTCAGACACAAAGCCAACTGGAGGGTGTTTACAGGGACGGCTTCCTGTACACTGAAGGAGGCTGAAGACGTTCCTTCCCTGGTTCTCGAGTGCTCTTTGTTGAAAGTGAACTGCGTGTTCCCGACGCTGCTACACTTGAGGCTCGTGGGGTCACGCGGCCTTAAAATTCAACCCATTAATCTGACAGAAAAAATAAATAAATGTAAAGATATAAACCCACTACGTTGAACAAAGCTGTGACTTGTCATTCACCAACCAGGTGTCCTTCAACCTGATTGGAAGGTTAGAGACAAAAAAAAAAAGCCTGTTTTTTTTGTTTTTATTTTCTTTGAAGACCTCCATTATGCTCATGTTCCTTGAAAATGAACACAACGTACGCCCACACAGGACCCGCTGAGGTCTGGCTGCGATCCGCTCGTTTCTGCTTGAAATGCTTTGAATGAGCAGAATCATTTGAAGGAATCTGAATTCTGAAGCTCATGTTGACACAATTAAGCCTCGGTGGCATAACAGGACTTCTCCTAAAAAATCAATACATTTAATTTATTAATAATTTAAAATATTTTTTAGACCTCAGATTGTAGAAATCCTAAGAAATATCAAACTAGGACCTACATTTAGGTTCTTAAGTTTGGCATTCTTTTGTAGTCTAATGGTATATTTTAGAAGGTTTTTCAGCTCTTCAATAAAAAAATTTACGAGCAGTTGTGATAATTAAACATAAACTATGAGATAAGCCTGAACCGTATGAATCACGTTTAATTACAACTTTATGATTTGAAATAAGACTGACGTAATTTAAGTCAAGATAAAGCCTTTTTTTTCTTATTTTTAGGGAGCTTCTGCACTCAGGATGGTGTGGATACAGTAATCAAGACAACACACAGTGATTGTTGTGGCACACACTGCCCCTCGGTGGACAACGAGCTCTACTGCAGCTACAGATCTGCTGATAGAAGATGTGAACGAGAGGACACAAGAAACCGTGTTTTAAAGTGAAGCAGAACGGCGAAGATGGAAACTGAAAAATGAGCAGAACATGTCGAGCAGTTGTATTTTATTTATTGATAACTCTGCTTGTTTAGATCAGATTATTTGCCGTCAATATTTGATGGACTGAGTCTCGCATACGGTCGACGCTCCTGAATTTTTTAAACAATCCTCCAAGTATGAAAAATGTAAACTAACCTAGAATCTGGTTCAGATGTGAGTTTACAGCAGAGAGCTTTGTGTGCTACCCAACATATAGCCTAGTTACACTCTGACATGTATTATTTCTTAAAGCATTTCTCTGATAGAGGTCGTAGATATGAAACAGCAGCCAGCAGCCAGTTAGCCGAGCTAATCGTTAAA